CTGTCATCACACTTTCATTTGGCAAACTCCATGACTTGAGAGGACAAACCTCATTTTTCAATTAGGCACTAGACTCACTCATGCTTCAGTGCTTTCTCATCACCCTCATCTTCTCTCCTCTCTCATGCTTATAGGAAAGAGGGATGGAGGGAGGGTGGTGGAGGGGGAGTAGATAGAGACGCTATTGTAGATCAGCTGTGATGGATGCAGGAGAATGCTATGGTGCTGGAAGGACTCCCTCTGCTGCTCCTTTACTCACTTTAAATTAAATAAAATGCTCATCATGAGACCTATTGTCACACAAAGCCTCCTGATTTCGCTTTTTTTAAGCTACCCTTTTCATAATGCAGTTCTACCAACATAAAAAGCATTTATAATTCACATTAAACTCAGTTGAGGATCTTAGATATACAGTAGCAATGAATCTAGGTTTGCAAGGAAATAGACACACGCAAAACTATTTTGATAAATGTATTCTAAATTAATTCATGAAATATTATGTGCATGCTATTTTTTCCCCGTTACAGACACCTACAGTGACTTAATGCTGAGGAGGCAGGCGGCTTGAATCGTGCGGGAGAGTTGGCTGTGTTTGGGTTTTTTTCGGCTGACCCAGTTTGGAGGCACATTGAATATGCAACTAAGACACAGACGGAAGAGAAACTTGGCGACACATGCCTGGATAATCATCGCGGTACTTTAATATTCAAGGGAGAGGGAGAGCGCTTGATAACATGAGGAAAGAGGGAACTAAATGTGGGGGTCGTGGAGGTTGATATTTGCGATATAGCAGAGAAAGGGGAGAAGGGAAACAGAAATAAGATAGAGAGAAGTCAACGATGTCGTGCAGTGGATGCAGTAAGACATGAAGAGATAGGAGTCTTCTCTTCCCAGTAGATCATTTCAGAAGCTCTGCAAATGTTTCTAATTCCCTTTGCCCATGTTAGCCTCCTTCTCGATAGCAACCGATTAAAGATGAATAAAATGTTTGGAAGGAGATGAAGAACAGAACGAGGAGAATAAGACGGGGGGGGGAAAGGGAGTCTGGTGGTTGCTATGGTGACGAGAGGGGAGAGATTCCAGAGTGGTCTCGGCCATTACGCAGTGTGTTGGGGAGATGGACTGTGCAGCACTTAGGCTTATTGCAGAGTGGGCTGAAAAAGAAGAGATATCTAATATGGACGAGATGGGCTCACACCAAAATGGTGGATGGTAAAAACAGTCCCTAATAAAAAAAAAAAGCCTGTGAGTACTGAGGTTTTACTGCCAAAAGCTGTGCTGAGAAAAGCCAATCAGGATCAGAAAAAAGAAATGCATTTAACCCATTTGAGAAAATGGAAGGACATCCAGAGAGTAAAAGCCTCACATACATACCAGCAGACATACGAAAATGTATGCACATACGTGAACAAAGACATAATCAGGGCTTCATTGATTCTCTCCTAACACAGCCAAATAAAACCACTCTATTATAACAAAGCCAAGAACAACAGTTGTCGTCTTTGGCTAGGGAGTGGGTCGTATGGAATGAGCAGGCACAACAACAGCTTAAGATGGGGGAAAGCTTGTCCTGTACAACCAGCCAGACATTAAGCAATGGTGTAATATAAAAATGATTGGCTCCCAGATGTCAGGCTGGTACCCAAAAAATCCACAATGCTATTTCTCCTCTGAAGAGTAGAGGATTAATGATGGATACAATGCAATGTGAATACAATAGATACTTTAATGCCCACTACAGTACATACAAAGTATTCTTATTCACAGCTACATCAACGCTGTGACGCAGCTGATCTGCATCCTGGGTAATACCTGCCTACACACAGCTGTTCATTCTTAACTTTAAAGTACATTATTCATAAGTTAACTTTACAAGAAGTTGACATAACACACTCAACTTTCATTCTTTTGTGTGGGGACTGGAAACAGCGAAGGGGAGTCTATGTGTCAACATTGCTAAGGAAAATAAATAACAATGGCTGTTATCTCAGAAGTGAGTTTCTGTAGAATTATATAATGTATTTAGTTGTGTGGTTTTCCAACTGTTTTTTTGCTAAAAAAGGGCAACATGTGCAGCGAAGAGGACAATGACTGGCCCAGTACCACGTTGTTTGTTTATGTGTATCTTTGACTCAAATGGAGCGTAATAAAGTGTTAATGCAGAAAACTCCAACTGAGCAAAGGGTAATGTGACATGCAGAGCTTGTGCTAAATGATGGGTTTTGTAATAATTTAATGAAGGGATAAATTCAGGACGATTAATGTCAGTAATACTAAATCACCCACAGATACTGGTAACTTCCTGAGCTGATACACAGTGGGATCTCTGATTATCTGCAATCTTTGGTCGTGTCCCCTGCTGACCACTGTGCACTTCTTCTAACTGCAAACTAATCAAATCAAAGCAGCACAGTGGCTCTATGCCAGTTGCTTCTGGTCAAACAGACTTCAAACAAAACAGCACAAAGCAGTGTGTCAGCCTCTGTGACACCTTCCTGGTGTTTCTCGGCTGCCTGGATAGTTGAATAGAACAAAACTTCACACATCTCCTGCTGACAGCATGGTATAAGGCGGCCAGAAAACACTGAGAAGAGGAAAATATCTATTGTGTTGTAAACTGGGCCAATTTTATAATAAAAGTTTGTTAAAACAAGGTCTGGTTAAAAAAAGTTTGTTATCTCTTCACTAAATGTTTTGAAATGACAAAAATATCACAGAAAATGGCATAACATAAATATTTGAAATTATGATTTACTAAATAATATACACCATTATCTAGGCTGCTCTTACCATCCAGCTGATTGTAAGCCTCATTAATTGTAATCAGTAACCAGATAACGCAGGTCTAGCCGCTGGATGGAGGTGTATTATCTCTGCCTCTGTTCCAGGAAGCCGTAGCAGGATTTCAGAGGCAGAGGGAAGTCAAATAACCCCCGTGAGCCATGAGGAAATTGCCAAAGAGGTTCATAGGAAGAGCATAATACAATATAACAGAACAGAATGAAGGGAAGTAGAAAAGAGATGCTGTTTCACCTCATTTGAAGAAGTGTGCTAAGATTCATGTGTGTGCTTATCCTGTGTAATAAAGGCCAACTGTGGGTGGTCCGCCATCTATTCAGTGACAGTGACCTGATGCTGTGCTTTGCATATCTCCTGTACTTCTCACTCTTCAATTAACATTCACTCTAACCTACAAGGCAGCACCACATGTCAGCACAGCGGGCCTCTCTCTTTTCCCATGTGACATGGGTCATTGCAGTTGGTAGCACCAGTGTCATGTTAGGTGTGTGGCAGCCAGGTAATTATGGCTTTGCACTTATCTCCCCAGTTTATCAACATGTTTGATATGCCTGAACTAATACCCTTGGTGTGGAAGATAACACAAGAGTAAAGATTTTCATAATTTGACCATATTAACTTGGCCTTGAGATTGCACAGCAGGTAGTGCACAATTGAAAGACAAGTAGTAGCTCAAATAGTATGTTTTCAAACTATCAAAATGGATACTTACTTACTACGTTAAATCATTAGTTGCCAGTTTTCATAACATGTTTCTTCAAACATATTTGAAGCAAGACGCAGATACATCATCCAAGGTCAGAAGCTAGACAAGTCTGACAAGTATGTTTCCACTAGTGCCAAAGAAAGCCACAATACCCCAATTGCCTCCCAGTGGAGTTAACAAACAGTCTCTTTGCTCTTTTTTCTTACGATTCATCGAGTCATGCAATGTGGTCTTAGGCCTCCAGAGTCCCTTGATGTTGCTTCACCGAGCCACATCCCCACATTCACAATGTCTCAAAAAGAGTGTCAAACTCTTGTCAGGTAATTAGCCTAATTAGTCATTCTCTTGTATATCCTTCCCCTCCCTAAGCTCGCCTTTTCCTCCTGCGTGCATCTGAAATTTGCCATCATTAAAATCATCCGGCCATGGGTCATAAAGCATTCCCGAGTCACCATGATAAAGGTTCTTCTCCTGGCCTGGGAAGAGAGATAAACTAGCTGGATAGAATGGATTTAAAATGAAAACTGTATGATAATACAATCAGTTTGGTGCACACAAGATCATTTGTACCAGAACTCTAACCAGAGTCACTGTGTACACTATGTTCTCTCCTTCCTGCTTTCTTTTATCCTTTTGTTAGAATATTTGAAAGATTGTTGCTCAGTAGCTCTAAAGCCATCAAGCTATGCTGCTCTAATGGGAGTGGCTGAAAGATCCCGGCCTAATTATTGGCATTACTTACTGACATAAGAGCAATTATGAAGAAAGGAATTCAAGGAGATTTTACTTGAATATCAGTCACCCAGTCACAATCGCTGAAGTGACTTATGAGGCTTTTTCCTCAAGTACTTGGTGACTTATTTTCCATACGGCAGCTGCACCGCCCTCAATCGTAAGGCTTTACAGAGGGTGGTGAAAACGGCACAGAACATCACCAGGAGAACAGAGCTGCCATCCATGGATGACCTTTACTCCCAGCGGCTCAGGAAGAAATCCCTCCGGATTATAAAAGACCCCCATCACCCCAGCCACAAACTGTTCTGTCTGCTGCCGTCTGGCAGGCGGTACCGCAGCATCCGGACTAAAACCACCAGATTCAGAGACAATTTCATCCCACAGGCAATAAGACTGCTAAACAACTGAACTGCTGAAACAACATCTGTTAAACACCTGAACAGTTGAAACAACATCCATAACATTCATCTGCTACTTAGTAATTATTTATTTATTTATCTAATATATCATTCCAATAACTTGCATATAGACTCTTATTGCACTATTTCACTTTTTATATTTACTTTTTACTTGCACTATATTTTTCTGTTTATCTATGTTATTGTGTTGCACTGTTGGAGAAGCCTGTGACCTAAGAATGTCATCGGCATAACTACACTGTAGCTATGTTCGTATGACAAAATAAAGAATCTTGAGGAAAAGATAGCAACATGGTAATCTTTCATGTAACACAAAACAAATGATATGAAAGTTGTCTTACCTTCATAGACAGCCTTAAATCCCTGTCCACTGACCGCGTAGTCAGACAGTAGCCACAGTGTGATCCTGGAGCCTGTACTCACAATGGGTGAAGGCAGCTGGAACCCTGATAACCTGAGAACAAATGGACAGAAGGACAATAACGATTAAAAAAAAAAGATCCAATCAACAGCACAGTTGGTCGCAAGGTCAGGTATGAAAACCACTTTCATCAAGCCAGATGTTCCCTTCAGCATTCAAAGATAACTTTTTTGTATAATGAGGCTGTGAATCATCCACAAAGTATTAAAATGTCAAGACCTCAACAGGACAGCAAGTCTCAACAGACTTCTCTTAATCAGCAAAAGACAGAGTATGCAATCATGTTTCCGTAGTAAATAAGAGATAATAATAATAATAATAGCTTGCATTTATATAGCGCCTTTCAAGGGACCCAAGGTCGATAAAAAATAGTCTCCAGTGTGGGCTGAACAAATAGTTATACAGACAACAATCATAACAATGATGGACTCTGAGTGAACAACCGTTATAACTAATAACTAAGGACTTCTTTTTGGATATAAAATTTAAGTAGAAGAGAACAAATATAATTACTATTTATGTGTGTAGCTTATCAGATATGGTCAAGGTTATCTAAGTATTCAATGTGTGTTTTAATGTTGTATTTCACTCTAAGAATTGTATCAACACTTTTCTCACCACAGTTCTATAAACCCACTAAGTCATGTGGAAAATGTTGACCTACTGTAGTCTTTCGTAGGTTTCCATTTTAAACTACTTCATAACACTTGAATCAGCATTAGGACTGTGACTCACCTGGACCTCAGTTTATCAAAAATGTAACTTTAATTCTATTTATGAGAACAGCAGAGCCTGTGATGATTTCACAACAGCTTTGTGAACATTGATAAGAGAAACGTTTAATCACATTCCTACAGGTTTAAAACAATATTGTTCTTCAAAGAAACTGAGCCTTCAAACATATTTGCCCTGATTTTCTCCCTGGATGGCTTTGGTTTAATCAGCAAAACTGCAGAAAGCTTTTTCTATTTCAGCAAAAACATACATTTACACTAGGGATTATCCGAGACATAACAACTGATTAGTACACCTAAAAAAATCCAGTAAAACAGATGTTCAAATATTGCCTAATTAAATTATGTATATAAAATGTATATTTTTTTGTATATTTATTTACATTACATAACAACTTTCAAGCACAGGAGAGGACACATGCTAAATGAATCCATACCACATGTATCAGCACATATTGGTTATGCATTCATGAGCTTTGATGTTGAAACCAAGAAGCATGACGCACAGAAGCCCAGTGCACAGCGCTAAAATAGTGCCTAAATTACATTTTAAATTACAATGTTTATGTGCCAAGGCACTTCTTACACAGTGAGCAAAAAGATAAAAACAAGCACTGCAAATCAGTGTCCTTTTTAGTTGAGTTTGATCATTTTATCAGTGTGTGTCCTTAAGTCTGTGAGTCCCTAATGAAACAAGTGATGTTTGTTTGTGTTCAATTCTGTTTTTCCTGCAACAAAAGGACAATAAACTAAGATCATTAATTTAATTTAAGTTCTCAGTGTTTTGATGCCAATTGCCCTCAATGAAGAAATGCATACATAACTTCCAAGTGCTGCTTTGAAGACAATTCTTAGTAATAATCAAGCTATCAGCATGAATCTTAAAGGTGGGGTAGGTCATTCACTTCAGAAACACTTTTTGTTATATTCCATGGAATGCTCGTAACATCCCGATAGTAATGAATACATTAAATGCTTTGACAATAAATACATTAAAAAAATTGATCTGTGGAAGCCGTGGCGCTGTAAAAAGCACGACCAATTATTTTTAGCCAGCCCGGCTAAAATAACTGGATGGCCTACCTGCCTGTCAGCCTTCCATCTCGTGCACAAACTTATCTCGTGCCCTCATTGGTCATGTGCGCGGTCGTGTGTGTTGGAGGAGGGGCTCTGTAAGGAAGTCTGAAGGAAGGGGCAGATTTTTTCGGCTGCGTAGTTTCAAATTCTAGCGCACTCGAGCTGGTTTCTCCATTCTTACCTACCCTACCTTTAATGAGTTATTTGGAGAGATAAAAATGTGCCTTGACATAAAAAAAAATTGACAATGACCATGTGCTAAGTATAGTATAGGCTGCTTAAATGGTTTAATTGCATTTCCAGCTATTTCTCCAATGTTCTCAGCAAATCATATCATATTACATTTTCACGTTTAAATTGTCAAATCCCACACACACCTTACCCTCCCTTATATTTCCTTTCATTTGGCTACAGTATAACGTGTCATTATTAGACTTTTCTCAGAAACTGGGAATAGGATACTATTAAGACATTTGTCTTTCAGATAGTTTTACGCATGAAAAAATGCATGCTGTGATGTAACTTATAATTAAAGGAAATATGAAGTAAAAGCCATACGTTAATTTCAAAAGGTCACATGAAGCTTACCTTCAAATCAATTAAATTATTATTAGGATATTTGTTTATACCGCTAATGTGTATACATACATTTCAAAACAAATTTAAAATAACGGTTTTCCATACAGGGTTACTTGAATTGCACACGTTGCAGCACATTCTAGCCAGCCAACATAACACAATAATGTTTTCAATGTAACTACACTACAACATTTAACTTGCCTGTTGTCTTGTTACAGTATCCAACTCTGCAGCTAGTGAGTTAACGATAGGCTCTGCAAACGAGATACTGTAAAAGTATTTAAGTATGTGGCTAACCAATAAGCTAATGCACTCAGATAGCCGTGTTCACAACAAGCTAGCTCAAGCTAACTCACGTCACGCACCACGCAGTATGTTAATCAGAGCTATTAGCTATGTGACGCTAGCAGTGGCGTCTCAGTAACTACTTTTTAAATATTTAATTAAGCATGTCACTTTAAAAATGTAAATGCTATTACCTCTGGGTAAGGAACTCCTGAGCTTTGTTGGATGAAGCTCATTTTTTCAATGCATTCAATCATAAATACCCCAGCAGCAAAGGTCAGGACTGCAGCTTTCCACTCCAACAGCTAATGGTCTTTTAGTGCTGTCAGAGGACCAGGGCCGTTTATTCCTATATAGGCGGACTATGTGGATGCATAGCCCCCGCGGTCACTAGGGGGCCCCCAAGCTGAAAGTTCAGGTCCAGCCTCAATATATTTGGGGAGAATTCAAATGAACCATCAGCTAAGCCCCCTCCTGTGTTCGGTGAAGCATTATATGCTTAAAAATCAAATGTAGGATATAAACACAACTAAACTGCAATGATAGCAAAGCTGTGGCTTGTGTTTGTGGGATAATAAAGTCCAAATCATCGTTGGGCTGTCACCCAATGAATGACGTCTGAGGAAGATGACAAATGTAAATTAAACATTGTTAAGAAATTGCTGCATCTCTTGCATTTATTGAGGTAGAGGAGCCTTATTGTTTACCTTTTTAATATAATTTTTTGTAAGTTTCAATTGCTTGGTTTTCATGAATTTAGCCTGTTTTCCTCCTGTAAAGTGTAACAGATTGATGCATCTCCACAGATCATGTTAAAGCCCCGGACACACCAAGCCGATTTTGGCCGTCGATGGATGTCAGGCCGACGATGAGCGTCCTGTCGCCCTACTCAGATTGGTGTGTCCCGCACCGTTGTGTCTTTTCGGCCGTGCCAACACCTTTTTGGCCGAAATCGGTAGGTTTTCAGCCAAAGGCTGTCGGTCAAATAAATCACTCTGATTGGCTGTTCAGCTAGCGAATCAGTGCATGAGAAGCGAAACGGAAGTGAGGGACCCAAACAAACTATTAAGAAGGCAAATCTGAGATTTCATTTAACTCCAGCTCTCGACACAGGTTCGGGAAAGCCCCATGAGCTTCTCGCTGTAGAGTGAAAATGGAACGCACACGCTATTTGTTGTTTGTTTATATCACGCAGTCTGTTCTTCTTCTCTCGGTGTATCACGCAGTCTGTCTTCCGGTTGTTGCCTCTTTTGAATGACGAATACACACTACCGCCGCCTGCTGTTAAGGAGAGTTATTGCCACTCATGCATGCGCAGTTCGTACGTGCTACTTGGCCGTCGGCTGAAGTCTTTGCGGTGTGTTCCAGTGCGACTGTTGGCCAAGACGCAGGAGACGTGAGGCGACACAACAGTCGGGTCCGTCTGTGTGAGTTCTTTGGTGTCAGCTTGGTGTGTCCCTACCTTTAAGGCTTCGGAATCCGCCCATTGTAGTTTGAAAAAAATAGGGCCTCCAAACAGCATCTTGCATAGGGCCCCCAAAAAGCTAAAAACGGCCCTGCAGAGGACATTAGCGTAAACGCTGGTGTCACACGTGGCTCAACACTGATACAGTAGTATTACATTTTTCAATAGAACTAGTGAAGTAACTCTGACTAGTGATGGGAAAATGAAGCTTTTGTGAAGCATCGAACCACTTGTGCCAATTGTGTCGGAAATGGGTTCATTTCTCGAAGCTTCAGTTACAGCGACCTCTCCTGGCAAAGTGCAAGGCTGCAGTGGGTTTAAAGTATCTTTGCCTTGAAAACTATTCGATGCATACAGCCGTAGGCGGGCCGCTGGCTCTATCCACTGGACTAGCCATTCTTTAAACTGACAAACATTTTTTTGGATACTCGTCATTATCTTTTTTGTTCACAACTTCTCCACATTTTGAAGTGTTTCCCGAGCCAGAACGACCTATCTTTCTTCCTGGCTTGCTCTATAATGATCCAATACAAATGCAATACCAACAACAACTCAACAGCAACAACGCAGAACATGACAACAACCCACACATTGCGCATTGTTTAGAGCGGTTATAAAGTGTTGAAGCGCTAAAATTTGAAACTGTTTCAACCTGTCATCCGTCAGAATCGAGAAGAGGCAGTGCATTGAATCGCGTGATTGGACCGATTGCACCATTTGGGATGGTCGTGTATATTGGTCATGTATATTGCAATGAGAAAAACTGCAAAAATAATTAACACAATAGTTGTTTTTGATTCTTAAAATAAAAATATATAATTATTAAATCATTTAAAGTTACATTTATAATTCTTTTTTGATTACTTAATGTCACAATATGTCAAACTTTTAAA